TTTTTTTTTTGAAGAACTCCTGGACACATGGAGGATGGAATAAATCTAAAACTTGATCCTCTTATATTCCTTCCCATGATGAAAACTTGACTTGAACCAGGTAATTTGTTATTTGGTATGGACACAGCCCTGAATGTTGGCCCAGGACTGGCTTCATGAAGGCTTATAATAAAGATCTTCCTTCCCTACTCAGAAAGGCTTGAATAGGAAGTTATTCTTGGGGCTGATTTATTTGTATTCTTAATAGAATCAGTTCAATGTCATTTTGATTATTTTACTTGAAAAAAGCTTCATGCCACTACTGCAGAGGAAAAAAGGAGTGTCATTCTTCATACTTCATGAGTAGTCTCCATTCCCTGACTTTGGCCTACTACTAAATTAGCAGAAAATACTCCACTGCTTGATCTACAGTATTTTGTATAAGTTTAGCCTCTTTTGATGCTCTTTCTTCCTTAAGACCAAGAGTTTAAACGTGCTCCCTTTGCCATAGCCTCAACAATAACCAGTGAGCATCTAGGAAAATGATTGCATGGACTAAGATTCAGGGAGTAACAAAAAGGTAAATGAGTTGTTTTCTGTTCTGTCCTTGGAACATGCAAAATACTGGTTTTGTAAACCAGTTGGGTTTATCACTGAATTTCTAAAGTCAAGAACATTGATTAGATAAAATAGAATTTTCCTGAGGCAGATTATTTTGTTAAATTATTTTTTTGATGTTTCTGAGTTAATCATGATAATCATTAGCTTCATGAACAAATCAATAAAATTCTTAGGTCTGCAAATTTTTTTTCTGTCTGTCTTTACCATAAATAATACAGGTAAGTCAATTTTACTGGGTTTGAGAGTCTTTTGAGGATAACTATTTCATTTATTCAAAAGGTACTTTCTATTAGCTGTTCTCCAACAAAATAGAAAGAAAAAGGAGATGAAGCCCAAATTGCTCTGCTTTTATATTCACTATGAAAAAAAAAATGACTGAAAGGCTAGAGATTGCAAGTACTGAACAAAATGAGGTTTAGAGATTATGTGAGGATTTTAATCAGGCATTCTACCTAGAGCTCCATTGTCAGAGAGATGGCAATGGAACTGTATATTGAGAAATAAGCATATATAATCTCCTTTATAAATGCTAAAATATTCATCTTTTATATCTATGATAGCCTTAAAGTATCTACCAAATGCTCAAATTAAATAAAATATTAAATGGTCTTCAATTAAAAAAAAAAAGTATTACTTAAACTGATAATCAGAATGCCTGTGAAGTAGAAGTAAAGCACAGAATAGTTATAAGATGTGGTAAATAACCTTATTAAGAATGAGGTGTAAAGAAAATACAGTGTTTGAAGAAATGGCCTGGATATGGTTAGAAGAACTTTACTTGGAAATAGTCAGTATAGTTTTACAGTATAAAAATATAGGCAAAAGCAGATGACAAGGTGAGAAAAATATGGGGGTTTTTGTATTCTCAGAAAAAAAAAATAAGCAAACAATATCTGAGAGCCTAGATACTAATTGATAGCTTGCTTTGCAAAGTAATCGTGAGAAGAGCAATTTGGGGAAAATTGATGGGTTCTGGAAGACATAGAAACTTTCAAGGGAGGCATTTGCTTCAGGCTGTGATCTGCTAATTAATTTTCTGAAATGCAACCAGAGATCAAACAGCTGCCCAAGTCTCTTTACCTTTATGAGAAAGAAGGAAATGAAGAGAGCATTTTTTAAGACATCAAGTTCTAGTACCA